TGCTGAATACAGAAGAAACGGTTCCTGCCGTTTACTTTGACACAGTTTAAAAGACCTTATATTTGTGAAGTAATTCCTGTTATTGAGGTTTTATTCCACACCCCCCCCCACTTTAATCCTCTGAGAAACAAAATAGAAAAAGAAGTCTAAGTCTTAAAATTTTATTGTCTCTTAGCTATCCACATAGTCATTTAGATGGGGTTCACCTCTCAGTATCTTTTCCTGCACATGAGGCACTGCTGTTTTTCTTCCCTGTGCAGCCTTCAAAAGCTGCTTATCGCCCCAGCAAACATGGGCACACTTGAACTTCTGAGGCCTCAGGTGTACCAGGTGGTGCCGCAGTGGGCTATTTGTGCGTGTTCTGAGGAGTGATCAGCCCAAAGCAGTACCTGAGTTTTGCATCCAGTAAAAACTGTAAAAGCAGAGTCTCATGGATTTCTGATGGGAGCCAAATGCTGTTGTGGATTTGTAGATGTGTCAGATGACAGGTAGACTGTAAAAATATTAATTCATATAAAAATACTTTATTATTTTCTTAGCCTACACATATAGCCAAAAGCAAACGTTTCCTCAGAACAAGTGTAAATCAGATAAGAAACTGAGGACAACAGAGAGACTGACTCCGCATATTTCTGAAGACTGAAATACAGCAACAGAAGCTGCTAGCAGAGCTGTGGCTTTAGACATTCCCAACGCTGTATTGAGCCCAAGTAATTGAGGGGAAAATGCAGCATGCTTGGTCTGTGTAGCATGTCTGTTCCTATTGGCCTATACCAGCCACTGGTTGCAGACTAGCACTTAACCACTAGTCTCCTTTTTGGCAGCAAGAAACACTGCAGGGTTGGGCTGCGTGGCCATCTTGGGGAACTGTTCATGCATCAGGAGTGATGAACCATGTCTGGAGGTAATGTTAGCACTTGTGCCCACTCTGTCCTACACAGCGGAGAACCGTCCAAGTCTGCACTGGGATCTGATGGAGAGGGGTGGAGAGGTTAGAGAGGGAAGGCTGTGAACCGAAGCAGTCCCTGAGGTGAACAGAGCAGTCCAAATCCAGTGCGGTCCCATTTGTTACCTGTTGTCTGCAACGAAGCTTGAGAAGTTCCTCCCTTGCATGGAGGAAACACTTGCCATGGATGCTCCGAAGTAGTGTGCAGCTCCTGTGGCACTTTGAAAATTATTTCGTGTGACCTCAAGGGATTGCGTGCATCTGAGGGAGGAGACATGTGGTTTTTATCAAGGGATTTGAAGGTGAGGGGAGACAGAATCACACGGGCCCATAATACAAATAAACACTGTACAGTGCAGAAGTACTTTGGGCTAAGCCACGGCCTGATGGTAATCAAGGAATATGGTTCCTTTCAGTTACACCTGAGAAATGGGATTAATGGCTTTCTGTGCTTGTTCTGGCTTTCTTAGGTAACACAGCTGGCAAGTTACTTTGAACCCTTGGTTTTAGCTGCAGTTGGCGTGGCATCCAAAACACTAGATCATCAGCAACAGATGACTGTTTTGGACCAGAGCAAAACACTAGCAGAATCTGCCCTACAGATGTTATATGCCGCCAAAGAAGGGGGAGGAAACCCCAAGGTATGGTTACCATGTGTAACTAAGGGATTGTTGGAGAGGGATGAGGGGCGAGAGGGGGCGGGCAAGGGGAGAGGGCAAAGGTAGTACCTACCTACTGCACGGCTGGGGATACGTTTGCAGTGAAAATGCTGTCGACAGCTCTCCTGACACCTCCCATTGGGGACTGGAAACGCTTGTTGAAGACGGGATTCCAGCCCGGCTCTCGGCATCCTCACAAGGGACACAAAGTCAGGGTGTGACAGCAAGTATCTGCGCGCTACTGCAGAGACCAACAGCGCGCCCGTGTAGTCCAGCCGTCGTCGGGTGGCGCCTCTTCCTCTGGCACCATTCCCATGCCTTTCTCGGAGGGGCGCTTGCATCCTCTGGTTTGGACATTCTTTTGTGTCGTTTTGGGGTTTTGTTGTTGTTGTGTTTGTTCTAGGATTTAGGCTGGTTTTGTTCTTTTTTCTGTTACGAGTTTTTCATTAATATACAAGTGGTTTTTTTGAAGTAGGTTTTTGATTGGAGATAGAGGATTTTTTGAGTTTGGTATTTGTTTTCATTTACTGCTTTAGAAAAAGCATTGTTGTGAAATAATTCTTTAGAAGTGTCCTTTGTTACAGTCTTTTTTAGTGATATTACATGGCTGTGACGTTTTTCTTTTCCCTTATGTGGCAGGCTCTTTCTCTTGTTCATATGTCTACCTGGGGGTTTTTTGAGCATTTTGGTTTGGTACAGAAGTAGACTGATGCACTGTACAGTGTTATTTTTGCCTTCACTTATCTTTGTTGCTTCTGTTACATACAAGTCATTTTCATCATTTTTCCTAGAAAATGTCCTGTTCCTGTTCTCAGCTATTTGCATTCAACATTGTGTTTTGTTGTCTAAGCAAGATTTGTTCTGTCAGCGTTGCTATTAGATTTAGCTTCTCATGTTTGACCTGAAAGGGATTTTCAGAGCTGTATTGTCTCCGTTAATTACGCTTTTGATTCACACATTGATTTGTGCACAGACTGCTCTGTGATGATCTCTGTTTTCTCATTTCCTCACTTTCAGGCATCCCATACTCATGATGCAATCACTGAGGCCGCTCAGCTGATGAAAGAGGCCGTGGATGATATCATGGTTACGTTAAACGAAGCTGCAAGTGAAGTAGGCATGGTTGGAGGTATGGTAGACTCAATAGCAGAGGCAGTGAGCAAGGTGAGCACAGAAATACAGACCCCCTTTTTGTTTTGAGCTTGGAAGCTGATCCACTTTGCAGGGGGTTGGAAGAGCTGTTGGTGATTCACATCAGTGGTGGCTGCTAACTGGCACGCTATGACAGGAACCGTAAAGATTCTTTGATTTTTGCAGATTGTGAAACCAAACTGATGCAGGCGATGCGCTCACGTTAACAACTTACACAGCACCTGTCGGTAGAATTTTTATTTAGTAATATGCCAGTATTTAACTATGATCTTAGGTCAATTGGCCTTTTATTTTTGCTTCCTTTTCCTGCTTGTCTTTCATGTTAGTCTCCTAAGTGATCAGCAGTCCAAACTTGAGGCAAACTGCTTTCAGAGATGATGATGTCAAAGCCTGAAGTGCTCTGCTAACTCCTCGTGAAGTATTCTACTGAAAATGTTTAGTAGTTGTAAAATGTAAATGATTTTAATCCTAATAATTGGCTTTTCCTGTCTCCAGTTAAAGGTGTGCAGGATTGAAGCCTTTACCACGTAAAGGAATCTTTATCTTCTTGCAGGAACATTTTATTTCATAATTGTTGTAGTTCTCAGCTGATATAGAAAGGAACGTGCACGTGGTTTCACCTTGCGTGATGAGTTGACCTTGCACTCAAAAACTCTGCACTGTAAATCATCTGCATCTTCCGTGATAACTTGAACGTCTTTACTGAGCTTCTCCATAGATCCTGGTGCGCTGTCTTCACTTGAATATTTTGAGAGAGAGGAGATTATAAAAATGAATAGATAATACAATTTCATTATTATGTGTAAGGAATACTATTGCTTATGACCTTATTCTTTCTGCCATATTTTTTCTTCTTTCTTGCAGCTGGATGAAGGTACACCTCCAGATCCCAAGGGAACATTTGTTGATTATCAGACCACTGTGGTGAAATATTCTAAAGCCATTGCTGTAACAGCACAAGAAATGGTAAGATACTTGGTTAGAACTAAGTACAAATGCTTCTGCATACATAAGGAACATGGAATGATTTGCACAGTGTTGTGAAACTCTTTATAACGCTAATTTTCAATAAACTTATCTCTTCAGGGGTAATGGAGCAAAGAAAGTGATGATTTTGTCAGTCAGTTTAACTCTTGGATCTTAGTGGCGTGATCGTAGGGGTGACCCTCTACAGGAGGAGTGTTGAATTGTGTTGTGGCTCTTCTGCACAAAAACTTTTTATTTGGCTCATTTTATATGAGAAATAAAAGGAAAACTTCACCTACACACTTTTTCATCAGCCTGTTTAATTGTCACTGAAATACCACCTTATGTTTATTGATGACTTCTGGTTACCCTTTCATACTTATCATTTAATTTAGCTTGTGAAATAATGTCAATATTTTCAGACCCCTGTAATACTTATGAACGAATGCAGATCAACATCTCAAATTGCTCTTTTCGTGCATTTCTGTGATTCAGCTGAGTTTCACAACAGAAAAAAGGACACTTGTTGAATTGAGATTTTCTTAAGTCATGTTTCACAATAATGTTTACCATAACATGTTTGCCTTTTGACGAATACTTCCATTGCTTGGTTTTTTTAAGAGGGGCAAGGGGACTATTTACATATGCTACAGACAGGATTTTTTACAAAAGTGATTGCTGTTGCAGTCAAGACAGGTTGATGATTCTGCTATTTACGACATTGCAGCTTATTGGCAAACAGTATAAATTTGTCTAAAATTAGTTTTGCCCCAAGGATGGAATTCCAGTGGCTTTTACTAACATAAATTGGAGACAGAAGAAACATCTCTGTTAAAAGGTAGGCTTTTTCTAAAGAGAGATTCAGTTATTTGTACTCACGTTCTACCAAGGCATTCTGCATAGTCCTACCTATTTCTTCTTGGTCCTCTTCCTGTATCTTAGACTTGTTTTGCGCTGGTCCTCAGATTTTTTCCATCTTCATGTTCCCGTGCCAAGCCAGCTGAGGCTGATGTAGGCTAGCTCACCTTTGACATAATAAGGTGGCTGGGACACAGAGAACCTGCTTCCCCACCTGGTCCAAGTAACTGTGTACCTGGCCCCGCTGTGTCAAAGAGTGAATTACCAGCTCTAACTGCTGCTCTTTGATTACCCCGTATGTTCTGCGAGTGCCTGGTTACCGTGACTCTAATAAAGCATGTTTGCTTGGGTTTCCTCATGGAATTCTCGCTGGAGGACAGGTCCCTTACACGGCAAGCAGTTTACCCCATTTCATCAGTGTGGCCAAATGAGTGTGCTTCTGAGCTGGAGTGTATTAACAAATTATTCTCATGCCTGTCATTTTTCTTTTTCTTTTGCCTGTGTTCTTTTTTCAGATGACTAAGTCGGTTACTAACCCAGAAGAGTTGGGAGGACTTGCATCACAAATGACCAATGACTATGGGCATTTGGCTCTCCAGGGCCGAATGGCTGCAGCTACAGCAGAACCAGAGGAGGTCTGCAGTTTTTAGACCCCTTTATTCTCTGTACACGGTGGCGTCAACATGGGTATTCTTTTACTGTAGAGAATACAATAAGTAGAGCTAAGTGACAAGGGGTGTTCACCTCGCTCAGTTGCAGCAACATGCCCGCAGGCATTGCCAAATGCAGTAACATCCCTCAAATGATCAGACAGATAATAGGTTTCGAACCGTTGGGTGATGTGTTTTCTTTCAAACGTCTTTGTGATGGTTCTAAAACAAGGGCAGCGAATGCATTTCCACTGCCTTTGCTTCGTTAGCCCTTTTGTACGCAAGCACTGTCTATACTATGGGTGATCTGTCTGACAGGCAAACAGATGTGCTGCCTCTGGCCCACTGACGCTTGAAACGTGGGTCAGGACAGCCCATCTGTTCCCAGAAGAATTTCATTTGGCCTACGATTGCTTGATTGAAACTGTGACATGAACCAAGTCCGCATTATAGGCATACTTTAGCTATACAGATCTGTCTCTTACAATCTACTATTTTCACTAAAAAACAGACTTTAAGACACAAATTGTATACAGCCAGACAAAACCTCTACTGAATGTTTTTTCATTGGACGGAAAGGAACTGATGAGCTTAGCAAAATTGTGTGTCTTTTCAAAATGTCATGAAATCTTAGAATATCAGCAGTTATTTACATGTATGTGTCCTAAGTAGTTTCCTTCTTACAGTTTGTGGAGGGCTATCTATTTTGGTCTTTGATATTGACCTTTCCTCCTCCAAATATACTCTCTATTCAGTGTGCCTTCACAGGTTGGGGCAGAGCTGCACATAGTACTATGGAGTACATATTTACTCATAACAGACCTCAGTTTTGCCACTGCTCATCTGCATGGGTGTATAGCGACAGGAATTAGGATTTACTATGAAATATTTTCAGTGAACGTTCAGAACTTCAAATCGGCTTCACTTCGGTTTCTCTTCGGCCCTGCTGTTGTGCTCAATACATGTGACTTGTCTACGGAACAAGGGTTCTCCTAGCAGTGCTATGAATCGGCAGGTTTTTAAGAACACTTAGGGACTATGTAACATTTTACTTCATAAGTGTGGCTTTTCATGCTACAAGGCTTGTTATAAGAATTACCCAATCAAAGAACAGAAACCTTTTGACAAACCCCCAGTCCAGCTTCAGGAAGAAACAGCTTGCGATAACAGTGGACAGTTCTGCAGATCGGGACAGAACCTCCTAAATTACTTGGGGCTTTCGCTTACAGATAACTTGCAAATACAAAGAAAACTCTTAATTATTTCCTACATAGCTTTCCTTCGATCTCATCTGTTTGGATGAATTGCAAGCTTATATATGCTTTTTTTTTTTTTTTTCATCTTGCCTGTAAGTGATTTCAAGTATAACCTCCTGTCCTGAAGGTGAGATGCAGGCAACCAGTAGGAGTACAGGTATCTTTTGCTGACAGGACATCTTTTGTACCTCAGAGTCAGAATACGATGCAGGAGAAGCAGGTTCCCCGTGCAGTCTCACAGGCCTCATGCTAACAGAGGAATACAGACTACTCGCCTCAGTTGCGTTAACCTGTTACAGTTTGCTGCATATTCTCTGAGCACAGTTACAGAAATCCTTTCACCTCCCTTCTCATTACATGCCTCTGGTTATGGAGCATAGACAAACTTTGTCAATATGGGGTAAGAGGGTATCTCACCATCACCAGATGTATCAGATTATCTAGATAAAAGACCTTCAGAAAGTTTTTGACTTTGTAATTATGTTCCACCACTGATAGACTACTTGAGTGTTTCATGCTCAGTAGCACGTGAAGAGCGATGGCTTGCATTTGGCTTGAAACTGTAAAACTGAATTACCATTTCTGCACGTTACTTTCTGCCTGAAGTTGAAATAATTCCATTTGTGATACTAATGGCTGTGATTCCTGCTTACTTATTAATCCCAATACACACCTCTGTGCCTAAGTACGTGCAGGTACTAAAACTACCGTGTATTTCTAAAGAGGGATCACACAGCTTATGCTGGAGCATTATTAATAAATCAGAAGTGGCGAGGGCAGGATTTTCCACGTTTCAGCGCTCTGGATGTACGTGGTCAGTTCTGGACACTTGAGTCTCTGTGCAAGGTTCAAAACCGACCAACTAGAGTCATATTCCCTTTGACTCAGTTTCAGCAGTGTAGAGTAAATGTGTACTTTTTACCCATTGTACGTACCTTGAATACAGCTCATGCTGACAGTACGGTTCTGGAGATGAAGTAGTGTTACTCGGATGTGGTGAAGTTGTGCGTGCTTGTATTGCGTACGCTTGACTTGGGTACATGCCTTATGCCTTCCCTTTCCTGGGGTCCGGTTCACTACTGCTCCTGTTTCATCAGTAAGCCTTTTGTAGGGTTGTGGTACATGAGTATTACATCTGTCCTTGTTTTCTGAACTCTGCAGAGAGTATAGCGATGGGCAGAATATTGGTAATAAAGATTCACTAGAGTAACCGTGTTTCCATTTGTCTTGACACAATGTACCAGCATGACGTTTATTTATTCACTTTGTACCTCCTTTACCATCTAGATAGGATTCCAGATCAGGACTAGGGTGCAAGAACTCGGCCATGGTTGTATCTTTCTTGTGCAAAAAGCTGGAGCTCTGCAGATTTGCCCTACAGACAGCTACACCAAAAGGGAGTTGATAGAATGCGCTCGTGCTGTCACGGAAAAGGTAAGACATCCCTCTATGTTGCCCCACGATGTTTGTCTACTAAGCTTCCCCAGAGAGTAAACAAGTCAAATAGTTTGGGTTCAGGAAATTTTATTATTTTTTTTACCTTCCCATTATAGTGCAATATTGGCTGAATTACACCAAGCTCTTAGTTTTCTTTCAAATGTTCGGTGCAGTTCATGTGCTAGATTAGCCCATGATTAGCCCTTGCTTGTGGCTAGTAATAAAACTTCAGCCTCATACCAGAGGAAGACTGGTCCAAAACTAATCCCTCAGACATGAGAGGTGGCACTTGTGCCTTATGAGACACTCCCTTGGAAATATTAAGTCCACAAGGATGGCCACAGTTACCGAGAAGAGGCTGGCTGATGACACATGATGTCATGTAGTGACATTTTCTCCTTTTAAGACTGGGCGAAGCTAACACACTTAGAACTGTCCTTTCAAACTGTCCGGGGTTTCTTGGTCTTTGGAAATGTCCCCTTCAAACAGATGGCCTGAGTAGCTCGGCTTTGCTGAACCTTTTTGACAGCCCCTCTCTCCTTTTGTTGGGCAGAAACATTGAGAGTCAAATGTCAGTTGCTCTTAGGTTTCACCAGACATCACTTGTCCAGCCTGTGTTAATGTGCTCTCAGCTGTACAAATTTTCCACCATGTCGTGCCCCAGAAGTATCAGCAATTCCAAATTTAGGCAGGGATAGACAGTGTCTGTAAGAAAAACTAAAGCTGCTAAGGAGAGTAATAGTGAATCATGGGGACAACCTATTCGGGGACAGCTCTGAATCCGAACAGAACGTCAGGAAGAACCGCACTGTTAGAAGTCAGTATACGTAGCCCTAGATGTGGATCCGTTCTTGCAAAAGCAGAATTTAGTGCGGAGTATGGCATGAGAACAGCATACCAGCTGCAGAGCTTTGTAAGTACGATGTTAGTCAGATGAAATTGAGATCTGTAGCTTTTTTAGTGATCAGAAATGTTGCTAGATATATTGTCCTTCTATAATTTTCTATTTATATAATATTTAGTGTCTGGGTTCAGAGAGTCTATACTTTCTATTTCTCTGATGTTAAAGTTTATATCGGTGTACTGTACATGACTCCTGGGGTGCTGTTTATTTGCACATGTTTGGGAAAAACCAGTAGCTCTTGTCTCTGACATTTATCCTGGCAGAAGTTCACTACTTTACCTCTGACTGGTATTTGAAGGGAGTTTTAACTGATGTGCTTCACCCTATGATGAACAGATCGCTTCATTCTGTCTGGAAAGGGGACTTCCTATCTGAAGTCCCCTTTAATTTGAGACAGTCTTTAGTTGTCACAATGACTACTGCACAAAGAGAGCAAATAAGGGAAAGGGGAAGGAGAGGTTTATTAAAGTTTGCGAAATGACACCGTGGAATGAATTTGCATTGTTGATTCCAGTCACGTTAGCGAGCTCACTTAACATCCCATAACAAGGCTTTCTTTCAATGACTGCTTGTTGCTTTATGTCATTTCCAGGTCTCCTTAGTTTTGTCTGCCCTTCAAGCAGGAAACAAAGGCACGCAAGCCTGTATTACTGCCGCTAGTGCCGTGTCTGGGATTATTGCAGATCTAGACACAACTATCATGTTTGCTACTGCTGGAACCCTTAATGCTGAGAACAATGAATCATTTGCAGACCACAGGTCAGTGTAACTGGAAAAGATTGAAGAGCACATGCACAGGGGAGCAGTTGAACTGGCAGAAGTGACCAGCATGTGGAGATCAATTTTTTGCCTTTCTAGATGCCCATGAATGAAATTGAATGAGGCAGTGGAGTGAGAAGTAGGAAAATGAGGCTATTGATAGAGAACAGCAAACTTCACTTTGGTTATTTCTGTGAGGAAAGAATTTTAAAAAGCTGTGCAACATCTACCAAGAGCACTTCCAACAGTAGCACTGTTTTGGCTTTTTTTGTTTTTATTCAAGCTGTCTCATTGCAGGGACTACACGCACTGTTATTCCAGTAGCGAAAATTAGCTGTCCGTGACAAGGAAGAGGAATCTGCTGTACACTTTGTCCCAACAGCTGTTCTTCACTGACTGGCTGTTTGTCTTGCTAAATCACGCTTATGGTTAATGCTGTGGTGGATAGCAGAGATGGAAACGGCACAGCTATGCCATGCATTTTCCCCTTTGGCAGAGATAAGCCCAGTTTCCCTTCAAGTAGCATCTGCCACAAAATAATCCCACAGCATTTTTCATCACGTTAAGAGATTTGTAGCATCTGACTGTTACTTCCTTTGCTGTAAAACCCAGGGCTTCACAGCCTAGACACTGACTTACTGCTTCGCAGCCTACTTGCCCTACGTGACAGTCACGTGGCCAGCATTTATGTCCCACCTTGCCAGCTGCTCAGGAAAGAGGAAAGATGCAATGCTATGTAAGTTGCTGCCGTTCTGCAGAGTGAAAGTCAAGGATTTTCATACCAGTGTCATTAAGTTCTAGGCTGACATTTTATATTAATATGGTTCTAGTTGTCAATTAACTTCTCTTGTTTGTGAAGTGCATACTCAAAATGGTTTCTTCTTTTACCCAAATGTTGCTTTGAATTTGTTGTCCTGACCTGTCAAAACATGTATTTGCAGGGGGGAACCCTGACTAGGTCACATTCTCTGTTCCTTTCGCCATTCTTGCTACAGCCTTCCTCCCAAGTCATTATTTTTGTTTCCTTACAATATGCTGATTAAGATGGAAGTTTGACAGCTGTTACTTACCTCACAGCATGGCCAGATTTTCTTTCAGTGTTAAAAGGCAGTGCTGTCTTCTGCTACTGCCCTACCACATTTCTTTTCAAGATGTGGTCATTTTAATAAACCACTGTGCATCTATCCCAAAATACAATGCTACTGTTTTAATAGTTGTCTTGGGTTTTTTTGTTTTCTTTTTTAACTCACAACCTGGTCTGTGGTATATTGCCATGAGCAGACACTGGCATGATGACTTACATCAGCTCTTTTACGTAGCTGTTAGTCACCATGACATTGAAAAACATGGGGGTTTTCCTCTTTTTTTGCTACAGGGAAAATATCCTGAAAACAGCAAAAGCTTTAGTTGAAGATACAAAATTGTTGGTTTCTGGTGCTGCCTCGAGTCAGGACAAACTGGCCCAAGCAGCTCAGTCATCAGCGAACACCATCACTCAGCTTGCTGAGGTAGTAAAATTGGGAGCTGCTAGCTTGGGCTCCGGTGATCCTGAAACACAGGTGAGATGTTTTGAGATTTTTTTTCTGAGAGACCAGAGACTGTTCTTGATTGATAAGACTTTGTGGGGCTTCTACTCTTAAGCAACATAATAGGGTTCATCTCTTCTGGGCCTTTTCTGGGTTTACTCAGACATCACTCTTTTTAGAATACAATCAAGAGGTTAAAGCATTGAGTGGAACTAGACAGGCCTTTGTGTAACACTTTTGCTTTTATTTCATGGATGTGTTCCAGCTGTGATGCTTTTGGCAAAGCATTTGTCTTATTTTTACTAAGTTGTGATTGGACCCCTGACTCATCCCATTTTTGTTCTAAAGAGCTTGTGTGACTTTAAAGCTACTTACCCAGCTTACAACTGGGCCACGCACTGTGTGTCACTTGTGTGGTCTAAGCTCTTGCATTCCCTAGCTGTATCTGAGTTGGTTTTCATTTAAATCAGTAACTTCAGCCTTCAGTGTAGATTATCTCAAATATTTCTTCAGTTGTTTGTTTGGATCTTGGCGAGATGGAGGTTGGCAAGCGTATTGCAGATGTGCCTGTGGTGGTACCGAATTACTTTGAAAAAGGCTGCTTGTTTGCATAATGCTCTGAAAGGGAAGTGTGTTCTGTTTTGCTTGACCTGTATGACGGACTAAACTTCTGAGATGTTCCTCTGTTCCTCTGTAGGAAAATACTGCTGGAAACACTCTTTTTTGTGCCCCCCCCCCCCCCCCCTTTTTTTTAAGAAAACCCCAGGATTTCCATGAACTAGCAACATTTGCAAAACATTTATCACACATTGTTTTTCTCTGTATGTAGAAGGCAAGAATACAGTACTTGGAATAAAAGCTTGTTGTGCAGAAATAATAATTTATTTGGAGCAATTTTATATTGCCAGTTTGAAATTGTAAGTGCATCACGTGTCCTAAATGGAGCATTTCTAAAAGCTTTAGCACACGATACTGTCACAACATTTTTCCCTAGCGGCAACACTTACTTTACCTGGTGCGATAGAGTTTTAGTTGTCTTACACTGCAAGCTACCATAAAACATAGGTGGCTGGACAACAGAGAATCACATCAGTCTGTCCTGTGTCTCAGATTATTTTCTTATTTCTATGGTCAAAGACCTTCCGAGCTACCAAAAGCTAAATAAACTTTTCAGGAAAAGCAAAGAGTTCATTTCTATATAATTTAGTGAACTACAAACACAAAGGAAAGAGGCTGTTTTCATATTATTTATAATGCTACAGAAATGCAGTTATTGAGAAGTGATTGATCCAAACTTTTTTTTTCTCTGAACTTTCTCATTTTTCATGCATCTTTCAATGCATTTTCATTACAATGAACTTCTCTGCATTCCAGCAAAATACTTAAAACATCTGATTTTCTACTAGTGGAAAGGGCAAAGGAGAAGGGTTTGGAGGAAAGAATTATTCCAATAATACTCTAAAATAACTAATACTGTTGTAGTGTCTGTATTTTGTCTAGGACATCTGTCTGAGCTTGGGTTTAGGAGGCAGTATCTCCAGATTTGACTTTTCCTGACTTTAAGGCCAACCAAGTTATTCAACGTTTAATTCTGTGAGCCTTTTACGGAGGCTCAACTTCCTTTTCCTGGAAGAAAGTCTCCCTCTAACACCTAGCCATAGCACGTACATTTGATCTTTCAGTCAATGGTTTCAGAATTGATACATAACTGTAGCATTAGACTATAAGCTTATAATCAATCTGTTTTCTTGCTCTCGTCCCATTTGCACCCAAAGGGTGAAGGACATGGAGAAAAGTAAACCTCCTCTTAGGGAAGCTCAGAGGAAGGAAATCCTACCTACAATCAGCATTTCAATTTCTTCACAGGAAATAGTCATTTTTATAGATTCTAACCAGTTATATGAAATACTGTAGCTATCAACACAGCTTTTCTTCTTCCAGAATATTACATGTCTTACTGGTGTAGAGGGAGGGTTGTCCTATTTGTGTACAGGTAGTAAGTAGATTTTAGGGTTTTTTAGCTGTGTTCTAAAAGTCACGCCCTCATCCAGGCTAGTGTTTCTTGCCTGAGGCTTATGGCTATTTCTCCTTCCTATAGGTTGTCCTGATCAATGCTATCAAGGATGTTGCAAAGGCCCTTTCTGATCTCATTGGTGCTACCAAAGGAGCTGCCAGCAAACCAGCAGATGATCCATCCATGTACCAGCTGAAAGGCGCTGCCAAGGTAAAACCTTACTCTTACACTTTATTTGCAAGTATCTGTGCAATAATACTTCTTAGGCATGCGAAACTTAGGATTTCAGCGATTTCTGATTGCCTGAAATCTCATCTCTTTCTTTGTTTCATTATCATCCTGGGATGATACAGAAAAATAAGACGACACTATTGAGTTTCCATGACGCTATCAGTTTTTGTAGGCTGTCAGGTGTGGGAAGAAAAGACACTAATGTAATCACTCTGTATAAGACACCTACACTGGAAATATTGTGCATTTTCCATTTTTTTTGTTAAAATTCTTGCTAGAACACTCACGCTTAGGATGCTATCGCTTTGCAGGTAGTTATGTTACATTTCTGCAACTTACAGTTGGCCAACTGGCCAACAGGAGAGTTGGCATTTTGTCCCGTAACAAGGACAGTTAAATGAAGCCTCTTAAGCCCTATTAGTAGTAGTAAGGCTAGCCAGGTTCAGTTGCCTTGCTTCATTCCCTGCTCTCTCTGAAAAATAGGAGGAAGGAATCACGTATTTTTGTCTTCACCTCTTTTTCTTCAGGTGATGGTAACAAATGTCACATCGCTTTTGAAGACTGTTAAAGCAGTAGAAGATGAAGCTACTCGAGGGACAAGAGCTCTTGAGGCCACGATTGAGTACATCAAGCAGGAACTCACGGTACAGAACAGAATAGCCATACATGGCAGTTTTTGAAAGTATGCTCTTACACTGTAACCAGCCTGCCCAGGCACTCCTCCTCAAGCTATGCTTCACTGCCTTGCAGGGTGTTGGATGCAGTTTGGTTCTCTCAACCTGTTGCACATCGTCTCTGAAAGTACAATTTCAGTGCCACTTCAGCCTATCTGCTTTCAGACGTTACTAGTCCCCGCTTTGAGATCTGAGCTGCTGCTGTCATGTACAAACCTGGAACAACTGCTTTGTTCTTTAGACATGAAGCTTTAAGTACGGGTATTCTTTTCGAAGTCCAGTGCTGTTCACGTTTTTTGATCCTGGCTTTGGTGACATCTCCTCTGCATCTTAGCCATACTGCACCTGCAGTTTAATCTTGTTTCTAGTTTTCCTTTAGTGGGAAATGACACTACCAGTGATGCATAGCCTGCTATCTGATACTCTGTCTGAGCAGGAATTAACAACAGTATGGAATTATTTCCCAAATTAGGTGTTAGACCATGACAATTGTTTTCCTTCCTCTTTATGATACAAAAATATAGCCTCCAGCTGAAGCTTTCAGTTATTTCTTTTACTAGTGCACTAGTCAGTGACATGAATTAATACCTGCACGTTCGTGAAGAAGCCTGATTTTTCTCTCCTTCCTTTACTTGCAGTCCATTTTTGTAAAAAAAACCCATAGACACAGTCATCTGTAGAAGATACTGTGTTGTATAGCCTGTGGGTTAACCATTCTTACACTCTAGCTGCACTGGCACAATTTTGCCTTGTCAAGTGATCTCCATAAAATGTCTATGTTTCATTGCTGCTGTAATGAAGAAATAGCTCTTGTTTATTTTTTTTTTTTCAATTTTTAATTATCTGCATGTAGTTGTTGGGAATTCGTACAGTGTCTGCAATGGTAAAAACTTCTGATTCAGTACCTGATCAAGAATGTTCTGTGCAATATCTAGTGCAGATCACTGTTGTGTATCCTCACAAAGGCCAGGCTAAGTTACATAAGTTCCTATAACTCTGATCTAAAACCTGTCCAAATCTCTCCTTGAAGCATTGTGTATTATCACATCTGCTTTCTTAATCTGGTTGGTATCTCTTTGAAATATTCCTCCTCTTCCTTTTCCTTTTGCTTGGAATGAGTCTGTGGTGGTGGTATCATTTATTTCATGGGGAGAAAAGTGGAGTATTAGGAGAGGGTCAAGAGGAACCAAGGATGGCACGTATGTGCTCAAGAAAATGCATCAGGCTTGACTTGGAACTCCAGGGACTGAATCAAGCGATGTTGAGGGATGTCCTTCACATATTTAACTAGACTGTATTTGTTAGCATCGCTTCCATTTCTGGAGTGAGGAAGTGAAAAACTGATGAACTGGGAGCATGGGATAAACCAGGCTCCCTCCTGTCCAGGCATTTGCATTCTGTAACCACTAGACTGCTTAGATTGCACTGCGTGTAGTCGAGAAACCTCTCCTGATTGATTGTGCACTCCGAATTGCCCCTGCACAGTAAAACAGTGGCAGGCAAATCGAGACTAAAGCTTGGGAAAAGGAAATATAAAAGTAAGGTCACCCAGCTCTTATCACCTACATCTTACCATAGCTCAGGTACTCCAGTATGCATGAGACTAGTGCATAGTGTCAGATAATTTGAACTGTTTTCACACAATTCACCCTGCAAAACTGTAACTTTAGGTTTCTACGGGAGACTAAGTATAGCATAAGAGACAATGCTCCACCTCTGCTTTTTTAAGAGACATTTGAATACTTTATTGATGTTCTCAGTCTGTCCTGCAGTGTGCTATCAACAAGGGCTTGGTAGGGCCCAGCCTTTGCAGGGAAAGGATCATGTGAGTAGACTAGCCTAAGCAGCAGTCAGGATGACAAAAACAATATCATTCAAGGAATTGTAATTCTTTTGATCCTGTATCACTCTGAACAGCTGTCTGTAACAAACTGTCATCCAGGTGGTTAAAGCGCAGATGAGATGAATGGGTTAACCTTTTTTGTATGCTCCCCTCAGCTTATTGTTTCTCTCTGCTGTCTGTAGGTGAGCAGGCTTATCAGGCCCAGGCTCATGACAGGCAAGAATGATTCAAGTACTCCAAATATGATTCTAATTTCCTGCTGTTCAAAGGCTGCCTCCATTTGCTGCCTCTTTCCTGTGGTGGTTCTGCTTTGACTTGAATGGTATCAGGCTTTCCTTCTGCTTTCACTTTTAGGTGTTTCAGTCAAGCGAGGTTCCAGAAAAGACATCATCACCTGAAGAATCAATCCGGATGACGAAAGGAATCACCATGGCAACTGCCAAAGCTGTTGCAGCTGGGAACTCATGCAGACAGGAGGATGTGATTGCTACAGCAAATCTGAGCCGCAAAGCAGTAGCTGACATGCTAACAGCTTGTAAGGTAAAGATTCACTTCCTTGCCTAAGATTGATTTTATTTTTTTGTGTGTGTGTGCCTCTAAATCTCTTGAATGTGATAGTTTCTATTCAGTTTCTTTGTATTAATGCTCTGCTTTTCAGATGAGAGAGTTAATGGTTATGGTAATTTCAAGGGAACATCTCTCTCAGAAAGGATTTTCTGTGCTATGCCCCCCAAAAAAAGCAGCAGCACTAATATTGACAATTTTCTTTTTGTGGAAATTGAAGTTTTATTTGACCTGAAAATTCCTAGTTTTCAGTCTCCTATTACACTGGAAAGCAAATTATCTGTGCTGGTAGTAGAATATACAAATAATTCTGTGGTCACAGATATGATTTCAATATTTCTAGGAACAGTGAAAGGAATGGTGGAGGGAATCACTATGGTCTATTTTTAATAGTCCTTTCCCCCCTAATCAAACCTGTCAGTTTGCTCCAATTTCTTCTGTGCTTTTCAAAAATGTGTTTTGCATTTGCACTAAAAATATTGGTACCCTGTTTTCTACACTTGCTTGAGCTAGACAACTTTCAAAAACTGACCTGCAAAACTAGGGAGAAAGTATGTGTCATGTAAATGGCTATTAAGCCATTTGACTTTGTTCTGGTAATAAAAAAAGATCTAGGCATAAATAAAAACAAAGGGGGGTCAAAAATATCTAATTCCTTTTGGTCTTCAGCAGTAACACAAAAGTGCCTTTGCCCGCACATTATATGTCATTACATTTGCCTTTACATGTATGGAAGATGACAGAAAAATAATGCTGGTCTCTGTGAGGTGTCTGATTTTCAGTATTTCAGTATCTGCCTGTGTCAGTCCAAGATTAATTTTTAGCCTAATACTGCCCAGATGGAAGGGTTAATTTTGTTTTAAAAATGATCCTCGTACAAAAATGCAAGTTATATTAGAACTTAGAACTGAATATATATAGAAAACCATTGAATGACACTTTTTATTTTAACTTAGTTTTCTGACAGTTTTTAGTGTCTGACCATTCCTGACCACTTTGCATGCTTAAAATTTTCATTCTGTCCCCTCCACTTCACAAACTCAGGTCAACAAAACAAAGCAGCTCTAATTTGCACGGGAAAATTAAACAACTGTGCTACTTACATGAGAGCTACCATAGCTTCATATGTCTTAAGTACAGTCCAGTTAATTGAAACTTCGAAGGGAGACTAAGAACTGAACAGTTCATAGTTTTGCAACGTTCTGACCAATCAATTCAGGCACAAATTCAGGTGCTGAGGTGCACTGAATCTCCTTTGTCACTTGCAAGTGGCTACTGCAGACACATTTTTGTTTGTGTCTCCAAACAGGCAGCAAATTCTCAGGAACAGAATCCTCTTGTTTCCAAAAATGTTATAAACACACTCACATGCACAATATACAGCCCGATAAGTAATTTTGAACATTTAATTATGAACATTCACCTTTTTGTTTACGTTTGCTCCCAGTTAATTTAATGGTTTTGGAGTTCATGCATTGCAAGTGGCCAACAGGATGAAACTTCCTGCAAACTGAACAATGGAGGTCTGGGGTTCTGCAAAAGCATTTGTGATCTCCCAGAGAATTACCTGCACAAAGCAAGCAATCTACAGAAGGAAAGTGGCTGGGAATCATTTTACTTATCTGTAAAGATACACTGACAAGGAGTAAGATCTAGTTTTATCTTGTCTAGCCTTCCTAAAAATTAAGAGCAGTTATTGGACAAACAGGAATAAAAGTCTCCAGGTACACTAATTTCGTGCACTATCTAAAATGCGTGACAAAATAGCCATGTCATATAACAAAGCTTTTAAATATTCGGCTTGTACCAGACTTTACTTAGAAAAACCTGTTTCTATAAATTTTGCTCAGAGACTTAGAAGTCTTATGCCATGAATTTCTACAAATTGATTGTGCATGGCATTTCCATGATAAGCCACATCCCTTGAATTCTAGGGCTAGGAGTCTGCAGTCTTAGTCTCACTATGCTGTAAAAGCGGTGCAATGCGGTGCAACTTGGGTTTTGTGATATTTGACAAGTACTGGAAGGGTTTCCAGCATGGTTAAGCTAGCCTGTACAACAGGCACTGTCAAATAATTTTGATGTCCTTAGGGCTAAGACAATCATATGTGAATAGGATCTATGGTAGAATTATACAGAACATAGCTCGGACTTCCCTGGTGTCAGGAATTTAAATTTAAGTTCTATTCCATTGCCAGCAGCTTAAGGCAAGTAGTAGAAGGGATTTGACTTATTAGCAGTTATATATATGCTTGTGCTTGTTCTGCTATACATGAATTTGCAGTGTTCATTACTAATTCTATGCTTATAAGTAGATGCCATTTCAAAAGACAATGACGTTGATCACTGTGGGATATAATGAACCAAGACAACTCTCATTACAGTCGGTGGAAACACTGTAATTACATTTACTGAAGGTTAGAGCAGGCCCTAAGATAATAACAATTTCTGTCTTTATTACCTATTTGTATAAAATAATGACTGTGCAGTAAGTAACCTGCACATAATATCACTATTTTTAATGGTTGCTGTTGGAAAGGAAACAGGTACAAAACACCATCAAAAGCATAGAAAATAGTTAAAGTGAGTAATGACTTTGATCGTTACAGAGCCAGAAGATTGAGGGAAACAATTATTCACCTTTTCTCGGCACTCATAAGACTGCATCTAGAATACTGTGTTCAGTTTTGGGCTCCCCAAAAGAAGAAGGGCATTGATCAAACTGGAATGAGCTCAGCAGAGCCCACCCAGACACTTGGGGCTGGAGCACAGGCCCCATGAGGAGATGCTGAAAAGCTGCCTGTTCAGCCTGGAGAAGAGGTGGCTTTGGGGCGAGCTCACAGCAGCCCTCTAAAACCTGCCAGGAGACTGCTGAGAGGAGACAGTGTTGGGCTATTTACTTGAGGTGCATGGCAGGGGAATGAAACACAATGCTCAAAAATTGAACCATAGTAACTACCTGTTATTGCACTGTGGGAATAATTAAACATTGGGACAGGGACCTAAAGAGGATATGAAATCTCTGTCTTTGGAGGTTTTCAAAGACCTAAGCGGTCTGGTTTGAATCTAATGTTGACCCAGCTTTAGGCAGGAGGCTGGGCTATGTGAATTCTCCAAGTTCCTTCAAACAACACTGATTGTTTGACTCTGACTATCTCAGTACATTTTACCTCCACAAGTTACTCATCACTGATGGGTAGAAGTTGTAGTACCAGAGTCAAGTAGTGCTTGCTGCCTTACTGTTTTGAAAGCACACGGAGAGAAAATGAGGGCTGATGGTGAAGAGAAGCCTCGGCAGCTTCAGCAGGCTTTCTGTGCAACTCTGGAAAAGTAAACATTGCTGTTGTGACTGTGTTGTAGTGAGATTTCTGTTCAGATGTTTCTAGGTTACAAAAATGTCTTGCTAAAATGGCTTTATCACTTCTTCAGTCTGCTGTGAAGTATATGGTTTAAGAACCTTCAAAATGCTCCCAAAATATTCTGATATCAGTCTTGGCTATGTATCAAAAGAATAAAAAGAAGTTTCTGTTTCTCTTTTACATATGTTTGCTGTAATTGCATATGTAACTGACATTTAAGCACAGAAGAGGTATGTTAGGATGCTTGCAGTATATTCATAGGAAACAATGGGAGATCCTTCTGCCATATTTGAATATGCAAAACAAGCTGTTCTGGATTTTTTGAGCTTCTGGAGCTTGTTTGAAGTAAGCTGAAGATGAGGAAAATCCTATCCTGTTTCCTCCCGTCTCCTTTCCCTTCACATTATTTGTTGACAAGATGAAGAGATGGAGGAGGCTAGCGAGAGCGGTTTTCGTGCTCTGCTGATCTTGAACTTCCCGGCAGAGGGAGCCCGTAGACCAGTTCCAGGCCCAGCTGACAACAGCGCTTGCTCGGAATGTTGAGGGTTGCAGGAAGGGCCCAAAATAAGTGAGCAGTGACATAATCCCCCGTCCCAAAGGAAGATATGAGGCTGCAGGTGTGGAAGGAGCTGTTCTGTGAGAGGAAATGCTAATTTTTAAGATTTTTAGGAAGTTTCTTGTGGCAACAACTAGCACTTCTGTTCAATAACAAAGTTCCCTAGAACTTTTATTTTAGAAAATGGAAGGCTTGAAGAATCACAGAATGGCAGGGGCTGGAAGGGACCTCTGGAGATGATCTAGTCCAACCCCCCTGCTAAAGCAGGGTCACCTACAGCAGGTTGCGAAGGAACGCGTCCAGGTGGGTTTTGAACATCTCCAGGGAAGGAGACTCCACAACCTCCCTGGGCAACCTCTTCACTGCTCTGCCACCCTCGATGTAAAGAAGTTTTTCATCATGTTTGGGTGGAACCTTCTGTGCTGCAGTTTGTGCCCATTGCCCCTTG